ATTATCTTTAGTTTGCTAGTTATTACGAAGATTACTTCAGGAAATTGCGTCCATAACGTTTTCATTGTTACCAAGGTGGTTGCTAGGGACGCTGCTATCGATATTATTTCTGTTATGTTGTGTAACTGTTTAATGGTGTTATCTTTATTGCTACCCCCTTCCCCGTCAATGTATAGTGTTGGTCCACAGCGAAAACATATTAGTTTAACAAAATCCGCATCTAAAGATAGCCTACGTTATTTCCCCCTGTGCAATTCCAGTCTCACATCTCACAGCACATCGTCATTAACAAATAACGGAAACAGACCGAAAACATTTTTAAAAAATACAATAATACTTTATTCCGAGTGTGCTTGCTTTTCTCTTTGGAAGTCATCACATAACGGCATTGTAATACACGGTTCGGCTGCATTAAATATTACATATCTGCCGTAGTTCTGTATTTATAGAGCCCTGATGAGAAGACTTCTAGACAAACATGAGGAACTGAAAACGTGACGTGGATCATAAATATATCAGCCATTAAACAACATCTTACATTTATTTTCACACAATACGTCTCCTTGCAGTATCAACACTAATTCGGCTGACTTTTATATTTGATCCAATTGGTAGATAGGCTGTATTTACACCATAAAGGTGCACACCTGATGTAATTCCCTCGAAGCACAGGCAGACACAAGTGGCTTACTCATAACGGGTTTATTCCTCCGAATCCACCGTGAAAACTACACAAACAAACAGTATAAATGACAAACATAGTTTCGTGTTAGACACACAATAACATGCACAGCATGTGAGATAATAAACATAAAAGTAATACAAACACAACAACATACCTCGTTGGACTGCATGCTCTGTAAACAGAGCTGTATTCTTCAGTTCTCTTCACAACTTATATGTATAAGAATACAAAACTAACGGAGCTTTAAGTATCCGTGCATCTTACTCTGAGGGTGCTTCTCATGTTCTCGCTCTCTAACTCACGCGAGAACAGCATAACGAGACGTGAGCTTGGACTTCAAAATAAAAGACGAAATATTGCACGCATGAAACATTACAACAATAATAATTAGTACACTTAGAAAATACACATTACAGTTAAATTATGAACATGTAAAGGTTGCACTTACACCTGATATAAAGGGACACCTAGTGGTTAAAGCATGTTATTGAATTTCATTATTTTTATTATTAGATATTAATAGGATCCCTATAAAGTATATTAATTACTCGTTATTCTCTACTAATAGTTAATTAAAGACTGTATATAATGACTATTTTGCACATCCCTTTCAAGATTTCAAGATTTTCTAAGGTTTATTGACATATCATATAGGCCTACACAACTATGGTGTAGTTATGCATTGAATGAAAAACTTGGGTCGCAGGTTCCTCAATAGTGCATTACAAGACATCTATCAATATTTGTGCATACCTCCAGCAATGTTAACTATGTTGAAGCACTTATTTTAACTGATATTATACATAATGTATTATACTCTTATAAGATGTATGTAGATATTTAATCTCCGACCTTGTCAGGTATTGAACAATCAATAAATAAAGAACACAGAATTGTTGAATATAAAACACATAATTTGTGTGATTATACTAAATGATTTACAAATAAACACCACTGCATATTTAACTGTTACACATGCTGATGTAACGCAAATGTTCCAACTTGAGATCAATAAAGTATATCTTATCTTAAGCTGATCGATGGCTATACTGCCATATTTGCAAAATGTGCCTCTGAACCTTAACAAGTGCATGTTTCAGGCTTATCAATTAATGTAATGTAATCAATTAACAACAGGGGTCACAAAAATAAGACCAGCTGTTAAATAAAGCTCTTCTGACCTTAGCTGGCATGTGTGTGTATATATATATTAATGCTGCCCATTATGGGCACAAGCAATTTTCACCCATTTATTAATTATATGTTTTAAATGTGAGTGTTTCCTATCCCCTAAACCTCCAGGGATGTACACAGTTTAATACTGGCAACTTCTTATGGGAAATACGAAAACGTCTTTTAAAACTACAACTCCCAGTAGAGACGTGCCATAGATACAGAACATGTTGCGAAACAGAATAGCCAGCATTTGTAGTTCTGGGGACAGGGTGGGGGAGGGGGGACGCGGTGGACCCGTTCAAATCCAGTTTTGGATAGTCTACCGTGCATGGTTCCATCCCATTTCAAGTGCTGTTCGAGGCTCGGCGTAACCCTCGGAGCACACTCTCCAATCACAGAGCTTGAGGACTATCACGGGGTTTGTCAAACAGAGCACATGGTGTAGTCCAAACGATAGCTGGGGATTCTGGGTAGTGTAGTGTCTTCTGCCATCCTTTACTCCGAAAAAACATTTGTTTCTCCGAATCGAAGGGGAAAAATACAAAAGCATTGCACACAATTTAAACCAATCAATGTTGTGTAATTAACAAGGATAATCTGGTGTTTTTTAGTCGATGAGTAGTGCAGATATCACTGTAAAATCAATCGACAGTAAGGGGAATACTTACTTCCGGGTGTACAATTCTCCGTTATCCAATGAGAATGGACGCTCACATTGCCTTTAAGGGCAGTCGACACAAACGAACGCCGTGCTTCCATGAGCGTCCATAGAAGCATATGGACATCCCGGAAAGCTGAAAATGGACGCTAAGGGCCCCCCCCTTGCGTTGAAAATGGACGCTAAGGCCCCCCCTTGCGTTGGAAAAAGCCGACAGGGGACTTGACATAACGTCAACATAGGCCGACCTGGGAGTGAGGATGTGTTGCAATGGCAGCCATCTACCGACTGACTGTTGCTGTTTCTATTGACGCTATCCTCCTACGATGGCCACAACTCTCCACATTGCACAGTGGTTCCCATTGCCTGTAGTCAAAAGAGACAAAACTCAAATAGAATAATAAATCAAGATATGTTTTAGCCGTTAAGTTATATTACACACTGCGTAAGAGATTAATGTGTAAGGTATATGCACATAACCTTAAAGGGATGGTTTGGATGTTTTAAAGCTGGGTTGAATTAAAAAACGTATTTTTAAAAAAAAGTGAGTATCAACTACTGTAGAAACTAGTTTGAAGAAACAAGACAGGAGAACCAGCTCAGGAGCAAAGGAATGTAATGCTGTGGAAGATGGCAGCAGCAAAATGTATTTTAAGCTCTGTAATTTTTTTTAATGTATGCTAATTTTAGAATTGTTTTCTTACCCTTGTTCATATTATTTATCTACAGCTCTGGAAAAATAAAGAAAACGCATTTATCTGGATTTAATATTTACAGGATTGCGTTATTCAATATCTACTGACAACATTTTAAACAAGTTTTAAATACAAATAGTCAATTAGATAATTAATTGTAAAACAATGACAACTGGTCCAAATAACAAAAAAGCTGCAGTGTTTTTTCAGACCCCAATAATGCAAAGAAAATAAGTTTGTATTAATTTTTAAACAACACATTTGAAATGTTTTAACAAAGGAAGAGTTTGGAAAACAATGTTTGGTGGAATAGCGCTATTTTACAATGACAGCTTTCATGTGACCTGGCATCCTCAGAACCAGTCTGTATGGTTGCTGTTTGTTAACTCGATGCCACTCCTAGCAAAACTATTCAAGCTGCTTGTTTTTCTTTTGGCTTGTATTCACCAGTCTTTATCTCGATCAAATAGCAGAGCTTGTCATTGTTAAATGCCACTCCTCAACCGTTTGGTGACATGTAATTACAGAAGCTGAGGGTTTCACTGTGCTGACATGTACAACTGCTCTTGTGGGCAGGGCTGGAGTGTGGTGAAGATTTAAAAAATCTTGATCACATTTCAATGTTTTTTCAATGGTATAAAGGTCTGGAGATTGGGCACAAAAACTCGTCGGGGGTTTATTTTATGGGTGAACATATTCTTTATGTTGACTGTAAAAAGGATCTTGGTGTTTTCTAATGACTATTCTATTCTATTCTGGAGATCCCGCTATATTTTGTGGTTTCACAATCCAGGGGGTTATAGTCTGTTTATTCACAGTGAACTCGAATTCAAAACCAATATTAGTTTTTTTGTGTTCAGACAAAGGCCTATGTTGAGAATGTGTTAAATAAAATTAAAATTGAATGTACATTTGCAAATAAAGTTGATGTTTAAATTGGTTTATCTTTTAATGTTTTTAAGTAAAGTTCTAGCTTAATGTCTCCAAAAACTGTCCTGATAGCTGAGTGGTGAGTTCTTCCCTTTGTTAGGGGATAAAAGACAACCAACACCAATGTGTTTGTGTTACTCAAGTACTGTACCAATGAACAATGTGCAGATTTGGACACACATCCTGATTGTGTCATTAAAAACCCTCTCTCGTCTTTCAGTCTCGTCGTTGCGTCGCCTCTGCAGACTTGTCCTTGCTACGCGGTCTGAGGGTAAATCAAAGTTGAACATTTTTACTTAAAATATGGTGTTTTACGTAACGAAATGCAGTGTTAAACTTGGAACAGGCTCCTGTCCTAGGACACGACAAACTTAGCTTCAATTTAAACACACGGGTTGCTAAGAAACCAGAGTTCGTCAGCGTTCGTAAGATGTCGGCTTTTTCCGGTGTCGTGGAGACAAGCGTTTCATGAAGACACCTGCAGTGCAAACCGCTCTACAATACATTACATAGGCCTACATACAGAGGTGGAAGAAGTACTTGAGTAGGCTAACAGTAGAAGTACCAGAGTGAAGGAATGCTCGGTTACAAGTAAAACTCCTGCCTTCAAAATGTTACTCAAGTAAAAGTACAAAAGTATTGCATCCAAATATCAAACCAAAAGTAGAAGTAGCCTACTCATTATTAATGAGTAGGCTACTTCTACCTTTTGAGACATTATGCAGATTGCTCCATTTCAGAATAATATGATATGTTTTGATTATAATTATTGATAATTAAAGTGTTTATCAAAGCTGGTAGAGGTCCAGGTTTAATGACTTTGTATACTGCAGCAGGGTAGCTTGTGAATTTACTCCAGGTGTAACTAAAGTCTGATTTAAGTGTTGAATCAGTTTATCAACTTAAATTCCCCTTCATAAATAGTACTGGCACACACTACAGGCGTAGGCCTAATGTGTATATTTTTTAATGAAATTACGTTTTTATCATTGCTTTTGCCTTCACTCTCATAACACAAGAGGAGCACTTACTGAAATGTATCCCTTACTTAAAAACTCCTTTATCCATAAATTGTCATTAAAGTAAAACAAATATGAATTGTTATGGGTTAATTGCTTGGTTATCATACATCTCTTTAAATGTGATACCAAACAAATACCATATTCAATGATCTGGGCTGCTGACATCATGGTAAATAGATACATCACTACTAACCCTGCTGTAATGCCTCTGACCTGTGTCTTCCATACAGATGCTGAAATGCTCCATAATAGCAAAATAGCTTGCCTCCTTCACAGCAGAGAAGTGAAGGAGAAGCGTGCGATGGAAAAGGCTGTCGTTGACTACCGGCATCAGTACCAGCAGCCTCAGTGCCAGAGCGACTATGACCTGAGCGACCCGCACCGCTGTGGGAACACAGACCCAGGCGACGCCCAGATGATGCTCCCTGGCCTGCTGGGCGAGGACCCCCACAGTGAGAGCAGGGGACGGAGGCAGAGGGAGCAGCAGAGGGAGTGGCTCCTCCAGCAGCAGGGGGAGCAGGCAGCAGAGAGGCAGCGACAGACGCTGGAGGGTAGGTGGTGATCCCATAGTAGAATCAAGATTCAAAGGCTTTACTGTCTGTTTATACACAGCAGCTGCAGTGAGGATATGGCAATGAAAAACTTAAAGGTCCTCTATTACACTGTTTTTCATCAACAGGTCTCAGATATACCAAACAAGTCTCTGACGTGTTTGGCTCCAAACACCAAACAGATCATTGTAGCATCCCATAATCCCCTCTGTTTCAGCCCTGTTTCCAAAGTGCTGATTCTCTGTCTGTTACTTTAGATGAAAACAAGGAGCCCCACCCCACGCCCCTCTGAGAGATATTTGGTTAAAAAGAACACAATGGTGCTCTAGGAGAAGATTCAGGTGATAAGGTGGCGGGGGGTTACCTTGGTTGCTGATTGGCTAATGGTTACACAAGCCAAAAAAACGTTATGAAATCATGAAGTGGCCAAAATCTGATCAGCTCATTTTCAGACAGGTTTTTATATAAATCGATCAGGACAAAAAGTGAGATAATCTTTTTTCCTGTAACTTTCAGAATCCTTTAAGTCCCAGGCTCCTCATACAATGCACCGCAAATATAAATAAAACAATAAATATTGCAGGAAGAAACAAATAGAGAGAATAAAATAGCCGACCAATGTGTAGTACTGTAGATGAAGTAAACTATATGAATAATAATAATACAATAAGCTAAATGTTGCAGAAAAGTAAACAAGTAAATGCAAGTCTATATACAGATACACAAGAACAGAGAGTACAATTTAAAATAAAAAAAATGCACAGTGAAGTGAAATTCTGTTTATTTAAATTGTAAGATGCAAACAGATCAATTAATAAACTAAACTAGGATTCATTTCATTTCAAACCTTTATTTATCCAGGTGTATCCCATTGAGATCATTGATCTCTTTTTCAAGGGAGACCTGCTCAAGTAGGTTCCACATGAAACATAAAAACATAAACAGAACAACAAAAAGGACATCTTACAGCATTATAGGATCATAGGATCAGTTCCCATGCATGAAACGTGACCTTTGTTCTTCTTCACTGCTGTTTTTCAGAGCAGCGCTATGACCTCAGTAGAACATACATGGAGAAAAAAGCTCTGCAGCTTGAGGGCATTGAGATGGAGAGGAGAAGAGCAGAAACTGTCGCCACTAAAGAGTTCAATCTGGCCAAGGTAAGTCACTCAGGTAATCACACGGTCACATAAAGGTGGTTCAACTTGCTTTGAAAACACGCAGGTTTAAGGTGTACTTACAAAAAAATGTGTTTGAGTATATATATATATATAATATCTACTGACAACATTTTAAACAAGTTTTAAATACAAATAGTCATTTAGATAATTAATTGTATAACAATGACAACTGGTCCAAATAACAAAAAACTGTAGTGTTTTTTCAGACCCCCAATAATGCAAAGAAAATAAGTTTGTATTCATTTGAACCACACTTTTGAAATGTTTTTAACAAAGCAAAACAATGTTTGGTGGAATAGCGCTGTTTTACAATGACAGCTTTCATGTGACCTGGCATCCTCAGAACCAGTCTGTCTTGTTGCTGTTTGTTAACCCGATGCCACTCCTAGCAAAACTATTCAAGCTGCTTGTTTTTCTTTTGGCTTGTTTTCACCAGTCTTTATCTCGATCACACACAGGAGCCTTTCATCATTAAATGCCACTCCTCAACCATGAAATTACAGCAGCCGAGCCTTTCACTGTGCTGACAGGTACAACTGGCTCCTAAATGCAGCACTGGAGTTTTATGAATCTCCAGACATCTTTTTGTCTCTCTGTTCTTTATCTCCTTGCCCTAGAAAAGAGAATACATGTAAACAGTAGGTATACACATGACACAGTATGTCATCATTAAACATTCAGACGACCGCAACATTTTGAACAATGAGTCGCCATGAGCTAACCCACGCTACCATTTCAAAGGGTGGTACATACCAAATTATGACGACTACATGCATTTTCAGATTTGGTGAAAACAGACGTGGTTTGTGAAGTCATTTGATTAATATAGTGGTAAAACAATAACATTTCAGATATGTCAAAACACCAACGGTTAGAAATGACCACTCCTAGTGAAAGGTAATTTAAAATTTAGTGTTAAAGGTCCCATGACATGCTTTTCCGGTTATTATCCGTCCCCTTGTGTGTTGTGTAGCTTATTATGCATGTAAACGGTCTGCAAAGTCAAAAACCCTAAAAGTACACCCTGTAGCGAGTAAAACCCTAACACAGAAAATACTTGTCTATGCTGCCCCAGAACGCCTCGTAGGAGATTTTTCCTTTTTCTTCTTCTCCACACACACACACACACACACACACACACGCACGCACACACGCACACACACACACACACGCACGCACACACGCACACACACACACACACACACACACACACACACACACACACACACACACACACACACACACACACACACACACACCACACACACACACACACTCAGCCTTATCTTTCTCAGGCTGTGAGTGTGGCGAACAGTGCAGCGAACAGCCTGGCTGTGAGTGTATGTGTGTGCTCAGGCTGAGTTCCGCGATGTCTCGCTGTCTCGCAGACCCCATGCAGCAACCAGGAAATGACCCAAGTAATACAGCTCACACTGTCTGCTCCTCGATCCGCATTCTCATCTGTTTGTCATTACTGGTGTCGTTTTCTGGTTGCTAACGCCATTGTAACACATAATCACTGATGTTCCCGCTGTAACTGTGGTGGACTCATCAGAACATAGTGGACGAGCTGACCAATCAGAGCACAGTGGGCTCATAGGGAGGGGGGGGGGGGCAGGAGCTCCAACAAGCCATTTAGGACAGACAGTGAATACACATACTATACAGAGATGCTGTATGAGAAATCAATGTGATTTTGGAACATTGAACAATGTAAATCTATCCTAGTAGACCTCAACAATGGAATTATGATCAGTAGAAATGGCCATGTCATGGGACCTTTAAGAAAACGCTGTTCATTTTAACACATCATGCTACGTTAAGTGTTTGTTTTGATGCTAATACTTTAACAACAACAATATCTTTGAACACAGGGCTTTTACTAGTAACAATATTTTACCAGTTGCTTCTTTTGCTAGATTACATTTCATTAATAGTACCTGAGTGAAGTCCCAGTAGATCCCCATTTTCTTCTGCAGAGCCTCTCTGCAGTTGAACAGCCCTGGTTCTGTTTCTTTATTCCCAATGTCAGCTATACACCGGTTGTCATTGTACTTTTGGGACTTGATGCCGCCGATGTAGAGCTCTCCGTTTGATCGAAAATAAGTCATCTAAAAAGTATTTTAAAAAGCAGTTTTGGCAGTTAAATCAGCAGCAAATACGACAAAGATTAAGGATTAATCTTGACAACCACTTTTAGAATCTTAACTTACCTGAGGTCCATAGTAGTAGCAATTGTAGGCGATGGGTGTGTTTCCCGGCACTGGACCTTGGTCTAAGCACATGTTGGTATCAAGATTCTTCATCTATAAGTAGGGGAGAAAAAAAAGACATTAAAAAAAGTAAAATAATAATAAATATTTGGGAGCTCAAATGTAGAAAACATTGCTGTGTAGGAGTGAATAATTAAAACACACACCCAGCAATAATTCTACCACCATTCAAAGCATTAGATGAAACTAAACTTACTCCTCCATATGCAACTACGTTGTCCAAGGGATCCAACTTGGGATACACATTTTCCAGGTACCATTTGAAGGGTTTACAGTTCAACCTTTTCCTTAGTTCTTTCCTCTCCGTGACATCCCCAATGTCAATTCCATGATTCTGCAGGGAATATGGTATAAATTGTTATTTTGTAGCTTAAGTGATTGAGATTCACTCAAAGATGCCCCCTTTATTGTCAGAAGTTAAGGGGGCACGGGAAAGAAATGCCCCGAGAAATCTCAAAATACACATAAACCTAAACCATAAAAGACACAACAATATTGCACAAAACTGTGTCTCAGGGCTTATTAACATTTAACAACCTATTAATGTGTCATACCCAAATAACGGGAAGAAACTCAGTTATCAGACAATATTAATAATTTTTACCTAAACGAAACACAAGTCTAACACCAAGTATGGAAGCAAACAAGAGACAGAAGTATTTGAATTGTATTAGACACCGAATTTATAGCATTGAAAATAATTACTTTGAAAATCATGTATCTAAATGTTTTTGCTCCGAATTTACCTATGTGAAATAAAAATGTAAAAATTCAAGTGAAAAAAATGTGAATGTTCAAATTCAGATCCCAAAAATTCGACGTCAAAAAATTCGATGTATAAAATTCGATGTCCAAAATTGCGATGCAGCATCATCCGGGCTACGCAGACAGGATAAGCAATCGAGCCCTAATGCAACTCCGACTTCTGGCCTATCAGAGCACGGCTTTGTCAGTCATGTGATCACAACAACCCGGGAGAAAAATGACGGAGAACAGCGGGGCTCGCCGCTCGGGTAAGTAGTCAGTTTGTGCTCTTTATTTTACAAGCAGTGAGGGCTCGACAGCATTTGTATCTTACATTAGCTAGCTAAATGAGTGAAGTAGCCTTGTGCCTTGCTGTTAGCAAGCTCCGTTAACATTAATTGAAGTGAATCACAACGTGTGTGTGTGTGGGTTGGTTGGTTGGGGGTGACGGTTTGCAAAGTAACGTAACGATCACTTCGGTTAGATAAGTCAAGTAGACCATGCTACACTATACGAAATACTCTCTTACAAAAGCCCTGCATTTAAACATGTTAATGTTACTTTAGTAAAAGTATGCTAGTATAATTAGGAAAGTGTTGTTAAAGTAGACACAAGTTATACTATTATATTATATCATTTGATTTATTGTTATTACCGATGCACGAGTTGACTTAACTGTTGTAGTTGGAGCTCATTTTGAACAATGAGCTAACTAATTATTACTTTCATAATGGTGTAATGTGCCAACTATTTTCTACATTAATAAATGAAGGTCTGGTTTGTTCAAATTCTCAAAATAGTAGGACCAGAGCCCTAGAGACTCTAGGGCTGAGTAGGACATGCTGTCATAATTAGTCCGAAGTGACACCTTTACAATGTTAAAGCTGTTAAATAAATGTAGTGACGTAAAAACTAAAGTATTCAAGATAGTGTAGTGAAAAAGAGATGTTTTTTTTTTTTTAAATGTTACCAAAACAAAATCTCTTGTTTTGGACTGACAGTAATAATTCAAGAAATAGTAGATAAATAAATACACACATCAATTTGTTGTGGATGGAACACAACAAATGGTGCCCTTACCTGTGATGCCTCCTCCACACATTATAACCAGACTGTATAATTCAAACTATAAGTAACAGTTCTAGCTACTTGACTTCAGACAAACAATTCAAAAGACAACATCAACACAATTTATTGAAAGACCAATCTTTATTTATCTCCTTTTGTTTGTGTTATTAAACCCTGTCAATCTAAAAAACTGAGCAACTCAACAGTTAACTTTATATTTCTTATTGTCCAAAGCATCTATTACACTATTTGTTCCCCTCTCATATTCACAGGATGGATGATTAGAGACTTTGGGGGAAACCTCAGCTTTATGAACTTCCTGTTTGTTGCTTTGGCCAGAGAGGGCTGAGGGAGGAGGACCAGACCTGATGGAGGAGGACCTGCACCAGCTGCACCTACAGAACTTAGCCCATGCTGGGCATAGCTGTTACCACCTGCACAGGCCTAGCCTGTCAATTAACAGATTCACATTTAGTGTAACTTATGTATATTATTTCGTTTTTATAAAAAAAAAAAATGGTGATGGTTCATGCTTGATAACTTTTAGTTCACATTTCAATAAATTGTATTTGCACTCCTTTTGTCCGTTATTCTTGCTGAAAATGTTAGATTACACATTCACATCTGAATGAAGATTGGCACCATTTATTTATGACGTTGCAAACTCTGCGGTACAAGGCACAAGTGATGTGAAGCTCATAAAGTGAGGCAAATGCATTTGATCAGCTGACTTTTTTTTTTTGCCAAACTTTATAGGCCTGACAATAATCACACTGTCTCTGAGGTGCAACGTAAAACACAAAACAACACAAATGAAGTTCCTGTTAGACTACAAAACTATTCAGTGTGCAGGTCTTTGTGTTACAATACAAGTGTCTCTTAGTGAATGTCCTGTACTGCTCTTAAATCTCATCACATCAGCTTCTCCTTTCCCTCTTGGATG